ATTAATAAACTATTAATTTTCTTTTTGGCTTATTCCCTTTATTAATCTGAGGTCACCACGGTGGAATGAACCGCCAACTTATCCAGCATATGTTCTACGCAGATTATGCCCTTCCAGCTGCAACCCATCACTGGGAAACACCCATACATGCTCAATCACACACATACACTACGGCCAATTTAGCTTTTCCAGTTCACCTACAGCGCATGTCTTTGGACTGTGGGGGAAACCGGAGCACCCATAGGAAACCCACGCATCCGCGGGGAAAACATGAAAACTCCACACAGAAAAAAGCTATCTGATCCAGCCAAGGCTCGAACCAGTAACCTTCTTGCTGTGAGGCGATCGGGATACCCACTGCGCCACCGCATCGCCCTAATTAATTATTTATTATTATTTAAAATGTTTAGGTTTAGTTTAACTGTTTAAATATTATCATTCGTTCATTAATTAATTAATTTTCTTTTCAGCTTAGTCACTTTATTAATCTGGGGTCGCCACAGCTAATTGTACCACCAACTTATCCAGCATATGTTCTACGCAGAGTATGCCCTTCCAGCCAATAGTATCTGGATGCAGCCTTTATGATGCAAGCTAAGATTGCATCACTCAGCGATGCAATCTAAGACACAATGCACTCAATGGAGTGAGTGACCTCACTGTGATGGGTAGGGTTAGGGGCAGGGTTAAGTGAGTGCATTAAAAAGCATTGGATGCAGCTCAGATTGCACTGCCCCAGGTCTACATCCAGACCCCTCTCCTTCCAGCTGCAACACATCTCTGGGAAACATCTATACACACTAATTCACTACGGACAATTCACCCTACACAATTCATCTGCACCACATTTCTTTGGACTGTGGGAAAAACCGGAGCACCCGGAGGAAGCCCAAGCTATGCAGGGAGAACATGCAAACTCCACACAGAAATCCCGACTGACCCAGCCAAGGCTCGAACCAGCTACTGTCATGATTGCCAGTGACCACCTGAGGGCGCTGTAGTTCAACGGACACTGAGTATGAACTACAGCGCCCAAAAACTACATTTCCATACATTCTTTCACGCACACACCCGGTCTGTCATCTACACTGATTTGCAATCACAGCTGTCTCTGTTTCCCCGTTGATTACCTGGACTATATTCAACCATTCCACCTCTGTTTGTTAGTTGGTCGTTGTCGTTCCTGTTGGTATGTTTCCTGGTTCCAGATTATATCCTGTTCTTGTGCTAAAGTCTAGTTCTAGTTTAGTCTGTTTGAGTTCCTAGTTTGTTTGTTTATTCCTAGTTTGTTTGTTTATTTTGTTACTTTGTTACTTTGATTTTTGGATTTTTGTCACTGTTGCTGCACTCACACATTAAAACATTTGCACTTGGATTCTTCACCCGTTTTTGTTCCTGTTTTGGTCACCCTAACGTGACAGCTACCTTCTTGCTGTGAGGTGACAGCACTACCTGCGCCACTGTGTCACCCAATATTATCATTAATACTTAAAAACATTTTATAAAGTTTTATATAAATACAAAAGACTTTTGATGCAAAAACCTTTAATCAGTGTGAATTTTTCTTCTAAAATAAGCCTGTGAATAAGTTGTATACAATTTATTGCAGCTGTTACAAATCAAGTTACTCTGTCAGGCAATCCAATTAATTAATCTTGGTTTGATGGTTGTCAGGATATTGGTATATACTTGCCTGAATGCACTCAGTAAAGTACTGCCACCAGTAAAGTTTGGTGGAGGTGGGATTATGGTGTGGGTTTGTTTTTGAAGGTTGGGCCTTATTTATTTTTTTGGAAAAGCATATAATGTATATGCATATTTTTATTCAGTTAGTTGTATGCATGTACATTTTCTTTAGATTTTATCATTTAAATTTTTTTTTTATATATACCTCCTAGTGCTCCTTTGCCATCACCTGGGAATCCCAGAACCATAGTTGTTTATTCAGTTTTATTAAAATAACTCCCTCTGTTCATAGCTGTATAAAGTCCTAGAAGGAGAATGGTAAATGTGCCCCACACTGCAATTTCCAAAAGAGACATCTTTGTACATTAATCAGGAAGCTCATTGACAGAGAGACTATACAAATAGAAAGCTAAGATGGGTTTCTTTCAGCATGAGTAGCCATAGATGCCTTGAAAGAGTTAAACTGAATTTAAGATCAACTGCAATAGAACTGTTTATGTCAACTCTAGTTATTAGTTTCATTGTTTCACCTCTGAATGCAGTATGGTATACTAGACTCATGATTACAAAATAAAATGTTGTTTAAAGCTAAAGACATAACATAATTAGCAATGCTGAAAATGAGAATGTGTTACTTTTTAGGATAGATTTGTAAAAATTCAGTCAAAAAGTTTAGCTCACCTGTGAAGTTTTAATTCTTTTTTAATATTTTCCATATTTTGTTTAACATAGGACAGATTAATTAAAAAAAAATAATAATAATAATAATAATTTTTAAATATATATTTTTTATTTATTTATTTTGCAAGATAGTTTTCAGTTTAAGGTGCCATTTAAATACTTAACTTGGTCAATTAGTTGGGCAGGTTTGGTTAATCATTTTCACAATCCATTTTCACAATATTTCTTATAATATTTTGTTCTTCAGCAGAATGTCTTGTTTGTTTTAGTTTGGCTGAAATAAAAGCAATTTATTGAAACATACTAATCACCCAGACTTATGAATGGTTATTATTATGTAATAGTTATGTATGATCCACACTGTTAAGAATATCCAGTAGGTTCTTCATTGTCATGGTCTCAGTTTGCGCATGTAACCACGGTGAACTGTGTGGGAATGAGAAACTGTGCCAGAAAAAAATGACACTTTGGGAATTCCTCTGCTTATTTGCTTAGTTAATCAGTCCAATCCCCCCTGATAGTCTTTCTGTGGGGCCAAAAAATGTGTCGGCCTTTAAAATGGTCTTAACTTATCTCTTATTAGCAGCTCCCCTGGCTCCTGATATTGTATATAAAAGCAAGTCATTCAAAGGTCGGTCTTTGAGGAGAGTTTAGCTCTGACTTGTTTCAACGCACCTGCCAGGAAGTTTCTAGTACATCTAGTAAGAGCTTGGTTAGCTGGTTCAGGTGTGTTTGATTAGGGTTGGAGCTAAAGTCTTCAGGATACTGGCCCTCCAGGACCAGGTTTGGACACCCCTGCTTTAGGGGAAAGTAAACTATTGTTGCGAACAAGAATATCCACTCACCTTACTGACAAATGCCTTTATTTACCAAGCTGAGTTATTAAAAAATTGATTCAACTAAAATATTGATTCAACTCGACAAAACAGACAGAGATACATTTTCGTGTTGTATTTTGAAACTATAATAAATATAAAAACAGGCAGAAAATAATATTAACCTCTCCATAAGCATATGCATTTTTGAAATTTATTTTGGTGTTCTTTCAATCCAGAAAAATGACAATAAGACCTTAGTGATATGACAAAATGCTTAATTGTGGATTAAACACATTCTTTGCACTCTACACATGTTTGTTGCCTCATTACAAAAATATACGGCTAATTTCACAATATGAATGAATAATTAATAAAAACGAATACATTTAAACAGAAGCTGTGGCTCCTTAGGGTTGCCCTGAATAAATTTATGATCTGTATTTTTACATTTTGCGTTCTGATGCACATAAATAAACTATGCAAATAATGCATAAAAAATAAACTGCTGTGTCTACCGTTTTCAAAATGAGAGTCTCACATACTGTACATAGTTGGTTTAAAATAAACTTAGATAAATGTGATAATTGGAAAAAATATATTATAACTGTTGTAATCTCAAACATTGTGGACAATCAAACACCCTGTGACATGGATATTTTTACAAATTTATTAATGTTCAATTAGTTTCTAGAAAGCTTTGAGGTTACTGGTGTGCAGAAGTGTTTAGTGTTCATTCTTTGGATGCTGACATGTTTATTGACAACAACATGTGTTGCTTCAGTCAATGAGCAACAACTGTGCTAATGGTAGTTCTGACATCTCTGATGTTTCTCTTTTCTTACCCAGTCCAAGTTACATATACTGTAAAAGCATCATTACAGCAGTTTGAACTGGAATAGTTGAAAGGATATTCTTGTTGTTTAAATTATTCTCAAGATATTTTAAATGTAATTTGGTTTCATTAATTGGAAATGTATTCACTCTTTGGTTGCATTTGTCTACAGTAAAATAAATCCATCTTTTAAATGTGTAAATAATTTGTCATAATTATATTAAGTTACACCAATGTTTTAGTAACTCTACCAAAAGAATTACATTGTTTAAGTACAACATATTAATTCTACAGTACTTTAATGTAAACAAGACTCTACAAAGTCACTTAAAAAGAGTTCCTCTTGAAATATCTATATCATGTGTTTTTTTTTCTTTGTTGCCCTTTTATTTAGACTTGTGTGAAATTGATTATCTCTGTTCAGTCAGTTGCTAACTGAACTACAGTATATCAGAAGCCAGAAATAAAACTATTTAGTGGTAAATTGATAACACTGTTGATCTTTCTTGGTCAAAAAGAAATGAAATGTGGTGAAATCTGAGCTGACATTTTTATGAATGACCCAAATGTCTTTGATCATTTAAAGCTGAAGGTTCTTGAGCTCATAAAAACACACGCAGACTCTGAAATAGATCGATGCAAGCAGAAGCTTTAAAGCCCAAGAGGTTTACCATGAGATCTGTATTGTAATGGTGATTGTCATATTGTGAAACTGCTTTAAGGTTACATTGCTCCTATTCATTGGGTGTCATAGCTGGGCTTATCTCAACTGCTCCAAAAGGCAAAGCCAGCACGTATTTGTGTGAGAACGAGAGATATAAAAAGAGCGAATGGTACACACAAAAAAAAGAATAAAAGTCTTTGTTCATAGAAAGGGTTGGGATTATAAAACTGAAAGGAGATTTGTCCAATTTGAAGTAATCCTTCATTTTGTCCTCATTTGATACTGAATCTATTTTATCTCTTCTCTTTCTCTGCCATAGGATGAAAAAAATCAGGTATTAATAACCAACGCCTGGCTACAGCTGGTGAGTTTCTATTTATACTTGTATAATGTACATGTATGTGCAGGCCTATTGTATGTAAATCCGTTTATATGGTCACTTGACTGTCATTTACTGTCATTTTGTTAAGAATGTTATGTTAGTTCATGCAGATTACATAATTCACTGTAGTTCCCAGCTAAAATCAACAATGATGGCAGTGAAACAGAAGCATTATTTATTCCTTTTCAGACTAATTAAATTTATAGAGGCATTTTATCAATTAATAAATAAATAAATAATTATTTATGCACAGCTAGCATTCTGTAACCACGACTGGGGTAGAGTGACAGGAGACCACAGGAGGTAAGATCCACTATGCAATTTATTCAAACGTCAGGCAAGGAATGGTCATCAGGTGCAAACAGGTATATACAGACAGTCCAGAATCATAAATGTAAAACAGGCTAAAGGTCGAAAGGCAGGCGGCTAAACAGGAAAACAAGGGTACAAGGCTAGGATCGAAACAAGGAGAAACAAGACAGGGAAACGCGTTGTAATGTTACTAGGAAAACAAGACTCGGCAAACTGGTAGCGTGAGAGAGTGGCTTATGAATGGGATGTAATCAGTCTGTGAACAAGGCTCAGCTGGTGATCCAATCAGGAAACATGAGAGAGCAGGCGTGCGTGTTTGGGAGCAGTGCATGTATGAAAATGTAGTCCTGGGAAATGCGGAAATGTAGTTCTGAGTTCGTGTGAGAACCAGCAATCCTCTGGGGAGCGATCGCTGGTTGTGACATAGCCCCCCCTCTAGGAGTGGATTCCAGACACTCCACTACTGTTCAGGTGGGAGGCGGAGCGGAACAGGGGGAGGGATAGAGGGCCAGGACCATGCAGCTGGGGCGTACCTGGGGCGTGGAGCTGCGGAGGGCCTGGAGACTGGAGCTGCGGAAAACCCGGAGAGTGGAGCTGCAGTGGTCCTGGATCGCGTGGCAGCGAAGGACTTGGAGTATGGCAAGGAGCCGGCAGGGCTGGAGGCCCGCAGGGAGCCCGCAGGGCGAGGAGCCTGGATGACGCCGGCTGGGTGAGCTGTCTGGATGGCGCCGACAGGGCGAGGAGCTGTGGCCGTTCGGGAAGCTCAGACAGCGGCGGACACTCGGGAAGCTCAGGCGGCGACCACTCGGGAAGCTCAGGTGGCGGCTGCCACTCGTGAAGCTCAGGTGACGGCGGCGACCACTCGGGAAGCTCAGGCGGTGGCGGCGACTCCTCGGGAAGCTCAGGCGGCGGTGGCGCTGGCTGAGGCGCTGGTTGCGGCGTCGGCTCTGGCGCTGGCTGCTGCTTCGGCTCTGGCTGAGGAGTTGGCTGCGGCGTCGGCTCTGGCTGCGGCGTCGGTTCTGGCTGAGACGCTGGCTGCGAGGTCGGCTCTGGCTGAGGTGTTGGCTGCGACGTCGGCTCTGGCTGAGGTGTTGGCTGCGACGTCTGCTCTGACTGAGGCACTGGCTGCGACGTCGGCTCTGACTGAGGTGCTGGCTGTGACGTCGGCTCTGGCTGAGGCGCTGGCAGCGACGTCGGCTCTTGCAGCGGCGGTGGCAGCTCTGGCGGTGGCAGTGACTCTGGCAGCTCTAGAGGATCTGGCAGTACTGGACGGTCTGGCAGCTCTGGAGGATCTGGCAGCACTGGCGGGTCTGGCAGCTCTGGAGGATCTGGCAGCATTGGAGGGAATGGCAGCTCTGGAGATGGCCTTTCAGGAGCAAGAACAGACTTGGGACTGGAAGCCATCTTGTGAGCTGGCTGTGGAGAGCGGGTCGCAAGCCCCGTTGCCAGCGGGTCTTGCTCTCTATAGCCCCCCCCCCAAAAGATTATTTGGACTTTCGTCCACCCCTCCTATGGTGAAGGAGGATCCACTCATTTGAAGTGCCAAATCGATAAATTGTGCTAGTGTCCAGTGGGGATTGTGCTGTGGCATCATGGAATACAATGGCTCAGAAAGTCCTCCATGAAAAAATATTCTGAGACATACCTCATCCAGGGTGGTACGGTGGGCCAGATTAATAAAGTCCTCCACATAATCTTCAATTGGCCTGGCATCCTGACGGAGGCGCATGAATTGAATACCTGCTGGATCCATGTCTTGGCCGAGTCTTCTGTAACCACGACTGGGGTGGAGTGACAGGAGACCACAGGAGGTAAGATCCACTATGCAGTTTATTCAAACGTCAGGCAAGCAATGGTCATCAGGTGCAAACAGGTATATACAGGCAGTCCAGAATCATAAACGTAAAACAGGCTAAAGGTCAAAAGGCAGGCGGCTAAACAGGAAAACAAGGGTACAAGGCTCGAAACAAGGAGAAACAAGACAGGGAAACGCGTTGTAATGTTACTAGGAAAACAAGACTTGGCAAACTGGTAGCGTGAGAGAGTGGCTTATGAATGGGATGTAATCAGTCTGTGAACAAGGCTCAGCTGGTGATGCAATCAGGAAACATGAGAGAGCAGGCGTGCGTGTTTGAGAGCAGTGCATGTATGAAAATGTAGTCCTGGGAAATGCGGAAATGTAGTTCTGAGTTCGTGTGAGAACCAGCGATCCTCTGGGGAGCGATCGCTGGTTGTGACACATACTAGCGCCATATGACATCAAAACCATGTTTTCTGAGAAGGTCGGTAGAGTTTGTGACAATAATGGTTAAGTTTATCGGGATGATTAGGAAGTTTTACTTGACATTTGAATAGATTGTTGTTTAACATTTGCATTGAACAGTTTTACACTGTAGTTACAGTACATACATCACATTCTTTTATTGAATCCCCTTACTGGAACTGTATGATTTTAAGCACCTTTAATGTACATTACTGAGTGGTGATTTTAAGGATTAAGACTGGATGCAGGGTGTTGTTGTTTTTAAGCATTATGTGAGGCTTAGTGCTCAAATTAGAATTTTTTTCTCAGATCTGATTTTTTGTTTTTTGTATTTTATTTTTTGGCATTGCTGTTTAGAACAACTACACTGTAAACCCAGCTGTTGTCATTACTAAAGATATTAAGTCAATATAACTTGACATTACTTAAAATACCAAGTTTTGGTATCAAAACTTCTAGAGGTATGTTTAACTTTTAATCAATGTTTTATTTTTTCTTAACTTAACATTTTCATTTTTTTTAAACAGTTCACCATCACATCTGTTTTAAATGATTGCTTGCGCTTAAAATTCTGCCTTGCCAACTGTGCTGATTGATCGATATATGTTATATGACACAAGGTGGTCATTTTGCTTGTGATACTGAATTTTGCTGAAGCACAGCAAAACAGAGGCGCTACCTGAACCCGTCTGATAAAAAAAGAACAGTTAAATTAGTAAGTAGATATTTGCTTATGTACATTTTTCTTAATTGATATACATGCAAGGTTGACACAGTGGTGCAGTGTGAGCACTGTCGCCTCACAGCAACAAGGTCGCTGGCTTAACTCCCAGCTTGGTCAGTTGTCATTTCTGTGTGGAGTTTGCATGTTCTCCTTGTGTTGGCGTGGGTTTGTTGATTTCCCATTAATCACTTTCCACAAATCATTTGAGTAGTCTCAACTTATTAGGGTTTAGAGTGCATACACAGAATAAACTTTCTTCTTATGTAAACTATTTGTATACGGATGTGAATAAAGCATGTTGGTAATTTATTTTTTATTTTTTTAATATCATTGCAGTGTCTGCAAACACAAGTCATTTATGTTACGACTGTAAATTGTTAAATTTACAACTTTAAACTGTTGTTTTGCTATAATGTGTATTTTAATGGGTGAAACCTAAAATAAGTGTTATGCAATTGAAAAGACTGTTAAGTTGTGATCTATGACAAGCTATATTTTCTATGGCTCAGTGTCAGCCCTCTTGGGAAAGCAGCTTTGAATTTAGGAGCTGATCGTGTGGTGCACTGAACATTTTAATCACACCACTGTGTACTTTCATTTGTCTAGACTTCTGCAATTCAATTTATGCAAGTACTGGTCAATCCTATTTAAATCACTTACAAGTAATAATAAATTCAGCTGCTAGAATTCTTTCTGTAGGCCAGTGGGATATGTTAAAAGGGCTACTTTTATGTCTATATGGATGCAAAAAATGGAAGAAAAGCTAGTGGAAATTTGGCAGGAGCACCTTTGTCTGTTTGACGTGTCATCTTAGCAATACCACAACTGTGTTGATAAAAATAAAAATTGAAATTGCTTGTTCCCTTCAGAACTTCATTACTGGCACATGAACTTGAGCACAATTTGACCATATTTGCCTGCAATGTGAACGTATTCAACTGCTCGGGTCATTTAAATTGTAGACCATGCTAATACTTATTCAAACAGATAAATATTAAACTCCCCACAATCCACACCCTAATTGCACATAGTTCATTTAAAATACCATGGGAAATTGTGATGTACATTTGGAGTCTGATCAGTCTAAAAAAAATAAATTTCCAAAATGAATTGTAAACACACAATGCATTAATTTACAAGTAAAAATCATAAATATTTTGACCAAATAAATTAGATTTGTGTATTTTTAAATCATGTTTTGAATTTACGAACTGGATTTGTATATTTATAAATTGTATTTTGAACTTCGAAATTAGATTTGTGTATTTTTGAATCCTGTTTTGAACCTACAAATTACAGTTGTGTATTTATGAATCATATTTTGAATTTACGAATTGGATCTTTGTTTTTATAAATTGTATTTTTAATTTACGAATTCAATTTACATATTTTTAAATCGTGTTTCGAACTTACGAATTAGATTTGCATATTTATAAATCTTTTGAATTTACGAATTGAATTAGCATATTTTTAAATCATGTTTTGAATTTAAAAAAATTAATTTGCATTCTTTTAACTCCTGTTTTGAATTTACAGTTTGAATTTGCATATTTTGGAATTGTGTTTTAAGCCTATGAGTTAGATTTGTGTATATGATTCGTATTTTGAACTTATGAATCGAATTTGCATATTTATGAATCGTGTTTTGAATTAAGAAATTGAATTTGCATATTTTTAAATTAT